TCTCTTATTGAAAAGAATAAAATAGAAAAGAAACAATTCTGTCTGAAGAAGAGATAACAAAATACTGAAAAATCATTTTGAAATTTCACTGCAGTTTGTGACAAATAAAACAACTGTACACAGTAGAATTCATACAATAGTGTAGAAATAAATAAGCATATGCGGCATTGTTGAAAGAACAATTTAGCTTTGCACATTCTTGCAATAATATGTTTTTTTCCACAGTGACAATGCTCAGATCTGGGGTATTTTTTTAGAATTGCTTTTTAAAAAACAACCAAGAAATATTTGTCTACTTCCAAAGGCCAAGTGACTGCTCCGAGCATTCACTGTGTAGTAGGGGATCTACGGCAGCAGCTCCTGAAGTAGGATCAGTCCTTCAGTCAGTTGTATTGCATAATTGTTTTTGAAGGGAAGCTAGTGAGAGCTTTGTCATTTCACTTGTGCCATTCATTTCCACAGAAGCATCATAAACCCCTTCACAATACATTGGAGCTGCTTTGATATATCCTTAACTCTGACCTCAAAGACGTCGTGCACTAATTTGAACCAAAGTGTGTTTTAAATACACCTGACCTTTCTCAGCTGCACAATTTGCCAACACTGAAGTTTTCAACATCTCAGTATTTCACACGGGAAGCAGTGTAGCTCCAAAAGCCAGATGCTACAGCAGCGTCTTTTCTGTTACGTGCTGGGTAAAGTTCCAAATAAAAATGCAATAAGAATGCAGTCTCTTACATCAAAGCCATTAAATGAGGATATAGACATGGATTTCAGTATTGCTACCAATCAGACAATTCTTTCAAACTAAATGTTGCAAAGGAATTTGTTATCCATAAAATAAGTATATAAAGAGAAATAGTTGTATTACTGCAGTCAGTGGTTGACATCCAGTCACTTTCACTTCTAGCAAAAAAGTTTGCTATATTATTAATAAACTTAAAATCACACAAATTTTTAAATAAATACATGCCCACATATCTAATCTACAACATCTAGGTACAAGAAAAAAGGTTGATAGCTGTTATAAACAGAAGGGCAAACACAGAAATAGATCTAAAAATCACATTAGGAGGATATCTAGCAAAGTTTCATACGGCTATAGGAATCAGTATAAAATTACCATGGATTTCATGAATAACATCTGTAAAGACATAGTCACAGCACATTATAAGTTAAAATCACACCTTAACTTAAATCTGCAATTTTAGATATTGCATTTTTGCACACAATTTTGCATGCATAATAATTTCTGTTTGCACAAATAAATATCAGCATGAAATAATTCCTTTTCATTTGTAATTCCAAGCGATGGTGCATAAAAAACCACCTACATAGACTTTAGACCTTGATGAAACCTCACTAAGAATATGGGCTTAAATACCTCACCTGAGCATCTGAAAATAAAGAACTATGGAGACAGAGGCTGAGAAAGCAGAAAGTTACTTTTTGAGCAAAAAGGCAAATAAAGGAGAGAATTTAATTCTGATATTGTCAGTCTATGAGAGTTGTAGTTCAGTCTGTACTCTGAAAAAGGTCAAGATAAAAGCATAAGTTTGTGTTACTGTTATTACATGCATACTTAGCCCAGACAGTTGTGGTCCCAACAGTATAGCCAGGTGTCCATGGCATGCATTCTCTTTGCCTGCTGCTTGTCCTGGAGGTCTGCTCGCTTTTTCAGTAAGAAAAGGACCTAGTTCTGGCACCTCTTTAGAAAGTCTGTGAGGTAGGGCCTAGTCTGAAAGCACTGGATAGATGCCTAACTGATAACAGCATCTGAAGAGCGAAAGGATTTCCACGTGCCTGCTCCACCTGCGGCTGCCTCTGCACCCTCTCCCTCTGGTATGGACCCAGGGATCTGCTTTGAATCAGCTGGGAGTGGTGCTGGCTGACTGCACACAAAGGTTTTGCTCAGGCAGACACAGGAACTTGCTTTTACTTTGAATATGCCTCTTGGCTAAGTAAATATAAATGCCTGTGTAAGATTTCCCAGATAATTTCATTTTACTGTGGCAGTTGCTTTGGAGGAAATGTTATACAGGTTGTGGTATCATAGAATCATAGAATTGTTTGGGTTGGAAGGGACCTTAAAGACCATCTAGTTCCAACCCCCCTGCCATGGGCAGGGACACCTTCCACTAGACCAGGTT